TCTCTTCTCCTGAACAACCCCAACTCTCTCAGCCTTTCTTCACAGGAGAGGTGTTCCATCCCCCTGATCATTTTCGTGGCCTCCTCTGGCCCTCTCGGCTTTGCCTGCGTCTCTGGACTCCCTGGACCTCTCTGTCCTTTTCTCCTCGGGGATGCGTCTTGCCCAGCTGATCCCCAGTCCGACCCTCACAGTCCCCAGTACTAAATGGGGAAGGGTCCCCAGGGCTCCCTGGACTGTGTTGCCCCAGGAAGGTCATCGCTTTGCAAAGCAGAGACCTTCAGGGGAAACTGTCGGAGGTGTGTAGCCTTATCCCGGGGCCGGGAAGCTGGCGAGGGCTGGGAGCGGGTCTCTCCGAAGGGACTGCATACAGGGGTACAGGGCAAGGTGGGTGCTGTGCTCGGGGTCCGCTCAGACGAGCTGGCGGCTTACGGAGCAGGGTGGGTGCTGTGCGTGGGGTCTGCTCAGGCGAGCTGCCCGCGTACGAGCAGGATGAGCGCTGTGCACGGGGTCTGCTCGGACAGTTACTGAGAGCGCCTTGCTAAGGCTCCTGCTCCATCATGTCTGTTTATTGTCCCCTTCCGGCAATTCACCGAGACCGTCCCCTTGCTGGCTTACTTCAGAGACCTGGAAGACAAGCTTCCAGCAGCTGTTTGGCTGCAAGATGCCCTATGAAAGGGGCTTTTGGAGATCCCAGGGTTCCCCCCTCTCTCTGGGAAGTGATCTGTTATCTCTGGGGATAATGGGAGCTCAGCAGTCACTCCTTGGCGGCTCTCCCACAACTTCCTTTATTTATTTCATCTTTTTTGGCTTGTCTTGTTTTTTTGCAAGAACTCCAAACCCCTGCATCTCTTCCCCGCCCCCCCCAGCACTGCACCTCAGACGGTGGCTCCCCGAGCGGCAGTCACCCCCCGGGGAGTGCCGGTCTGCAGGCGTTGCACCCTTGCAGACTGTAGCATTGCAGCAAGCCCGTGAGTCCGCGTGTAGAGGGACTGCAGGTCAGGACTGATGCGTCCCTGACCCGTCACAGCAACAGAGCCGGAGGATTGGGTCAGGGAGGAGAGCAGCCTGCCTCTTAAACGTCTGGCTTTTCTCTGCTGGTAATTCGGGTGGGTTTCTCCCAAGTTCAATGTTAGGGAACACCGTGAGCAAAGTCCCGCCGGCGGCGTTTTGACCCGGTGCGCCCTGTTGCCATCTGGCAGCACTTCTGCCTGCAGGTTGCCCTCCTCTGCCATGTCACCCGCTGGGGCTGGTTCATTGCCCGCTCCCGAGGAGCTGAGGAAAGCAGGCGGGAAGTGCTGGCATGGCTGTCCAGAGCCCAGCCCGTGTGTCTGCACGTCCACGGCCAGTCCGTGAAGGTGCTGT